AGTTTGGATTACCAAAGCAATGTAATAATAGTACATATTGATTAAGGTAATAAAAAGTTTGCTAAGAAAATATCGCACTATTTTTGTCTGGTAGTCGATTGGAGTTGTCTCTGAATTTACCTAAAATCGTACCTAAGATTCTTTTATCCGATTTTTGCTTGCAACTTGTCCAGCTTCCAATTGCTTGTCACTCTCCATGGAGGCTTTCTCTATATCATAAATTGACATTTACGATTTTTTTACAAAATGTTGTTTATATCTGCCTCATCCGATTTTTTGCACGGCGGTATCAAGTATTCTCGCAAACAGAGCAATTATACCATCAGAGGCAACATGGGCCATGGATGCACGTACGGTTATTATTAAAAACACGCGTACTTTTCGGAAAAAGAACAACAATACTTTACAAAAATCAAATTAAGTGACATGCAAAAAAGAACTTTCATTTACATTTCCAAACAAACAATTTGCAATTTGCAAAAACATTGTTCCGTCTTTGATTACTTTCTCCTCTCTGGTTTATTGTTATGTGCATTATGTCGATTTCGACGCAAAAAATTTTCATCGCGAAAATCTTAATAGCGCCAGCAAAAAATCTTTTGATTTTAGACAAAGTGCGAATCGATATCTGATTAAACTTTTTAGGCCGCAATAAAATTTATTACTTAATTTATTAACGGAGAGAAATCTTCGTAAGTGGATAATTAAAAAGAAGGTGATGATGGATTTAGAAATTAAATAATATATTTCGCAAAGAAAGTTATCAAACTTCTTTTTAGCCTTTGTTGAGGAATAATTATAGGAAATCGTAAAAGTTACAATGCTAACCGTAATGGTGATGGTGATGATCTGCTGTTTTTTGTCACTTCGAATAAAACTTATCTGCAATATATCTATAAATATAAAATGAATCATAATTCGATTCAATTCAATTAACTGAATTTTCTAATTCAATTGACTAATTAGTTGTAAGTGCCATTTTGTATTGAGGCAAGTTGCATGTTCTTCTAGGCTTGTGTAAATAAATAATCGACTTAATCAATAAGATTCAGATAATTAATATTCAGATATAGCAACATTTAACAAGTAATGATTATTAAATCAGGTTTTTTTTAATTTTACGCCTATTGGTTGTTAGCAACATTTTATGATACTTATAGATTTATTTTCCCAATATGTTCTTCAATTCTTGAATACTTTAATTTGCAGTTCTTGATGAACCTCAAGTTCATTTTCTCTGATCATGTACATATTAACACAACTATTTTTATTTTAAATATAAAAATAAACAATTACTTGTTCATAAACTTTGCATTCTAGTTCTTAATGTCAGCTTAATGTTTTTATTATCGATAGAAGAAATAAAGAAAATATATTTGCATGCGGCTTTGTTTAAGCCGCCAGATTATTAACATTTATAACTAGTTCTAGTTGCTTATAAAGTGGAAATAAAAGTTCAGAATTGAATATACATATAAGTATAGGCTGTAAAAAGTATTTATGATTATTTTCTAGTAAAAAATTACTAGAGTTATTATAAGCTTGAAAATTTATCTATTCATAATTCAGAAATTTAATAATGCCTATAAATGATATTTTTATTTTTCTATTAAATTATATTTTTAAATGTATTATGATTTTTTTGTATTCTCTATGAGTTTATAATCATCATATTTTTTATGTATTTTAAACAATGTATTGTATTTCTTACTAATTAACTTCCTGAAGGAGAAGTTTATGTTTTCATAAAAAAATCCGAATTGCTAATTTTATGTTTTCTCGACGTTTCAAGCCATTCTGAATCGAATAAGACCAAATTTGGAAAAAGTATGTGTGTATGTGTGAACACATTTTTATTTAATTTATCATTTTATTTTAATCAATTCACTACTATGTATAAACTTATGCAACTAATAACTAAAATTCAAAACGGTTTAAAAAAATATTTACAGCTTGAAAACTCTTACGTTTATTACAAAATCGATTATAAATAATGTATCTCCGGTGCATATTTTCGGAAGTGTCGATAATCACTATTTAATCCGCCGTCGATTTAATTGCTCAAAACGAGCCGTGGTCTTTCGCCGCTATTCCTGTTAATTTTTCTCTTTTGCAATAAACCTTTGACCCGGATTTTCGCAGGTTTTTGGGTCACAAAATCCACAAAATGTAACGCCCTCACACGAACACAGTTGTTCCTGACTCAGTCGACCAGTTTCTTACTGACAATGGGTGTTTTGTTTTAAGATCGACGTTAATGGGGATATTAAAACTGACATTCGTAAACTGTATTTTGGTTTTGTTTGATTTTTTTCGGATTTTATTATCGATCTTCAGCCGGGGCGCTCTTGATAAATGAGATAATAAATAAACCTATACATTTAAAAAAATCTAAGTTCAATCTTTTAACTCCAGTTCCAATTTGCATTATCAATCTTCAAATTTTAATTAATTTAATTTCTTTTCTAATTAATCATGTAAACTATCCATCAAACATTGAAGTTGCTACAATAAACTATACAAACATACATTTAATTTCTATACATGACTATTAAATAAACACGATGCTCTTCATCATAGCAAATTAGAAAATATTAATTACATACCACGTTCTTAAATGTAATTACCGGCTAATAAACACAAATCGATGTAGGTTGTGTATAAGACTGAGATACGGTGCATATTTATTCATTTAAAAATGTATTAAATTAATTTTACATCATTGGATAGTATTAAATAATACTAAAAGTATCAGCACTTTATTTAATATAATACTTTTTTAGTACAACCACGTTTAATGATAACGTCATACTACGATTTACTATGAAGTACTACGATAGTACGACCATTTTCATTGATTATGCTACGTCGTACTACGATTTTCTACGACGTACTGTGATAGTACAACCACGTTCATTGCTAATATTTCAATTTACTACGACGTACTATGATAGTACAACCACGTTAATTGATATTACTACGTCGTACTACGATTTACTACGACGTTCTATGATAGTACGACCACGTTTATTGATAATACCACGTCGTACTACGATTTGGTATGACGTACTGTGATAGTACAACCACGTTCATTGATAATACTATGTCGTACTACGTTTTACTACGACGTACTACGATAGTACAATCACGTTCATTGATAATACTACGTCGTACTACGATTTATTACGACGTACTATGATAGTACAACCATGTTCATTGATCATGCTACGTCGTACTATGATTTTCTACGATGTACTGTGATACTACAACTACAACGTGCTACGACATAGGAACTATTACTATTTGGTCCTTTTAATACATTTATTGTAGATATTCAGACTAAATTATATATGAATTAGCACTATTCATAAGACAGCAGTAACTGTAAAGTTTCTAAATAACTGATCTTTGTTGATGATACTAAAGAACTTGTACAATCACGTTAGTAATGCCTACCGACTAGTAAAATTAATTTTTGTCTAAATTGTCTGATTATACATGAGTAGGCATATTTATTGCCTCATTGATTTACCAGACTGGATCCCCAAATAAAATGTACTACCTCTCAGTTCGTCTAAATTTCTGAAGGCTTTGCTTAAAGTACTTGCTTTGTAGAAAATTAATTTATAATAAATATGTATTTACTAGCTCTTCATCTACAAATGCAAAAATGAAAACCAACTTCTCCTATAACCAGTGGTATGTATTATAATAAAGCCAAAGTTCAAGTTCGCCTAGGCGCAAGTTCAATGCAATAATTACGATACGCAAAAGTTCGCGTTCTAAGGCAACGCAACGGTATAAAGCTGTTCTGTTCCTCGGATCACGTATCAATTTCTGTTACGCAATTTCATCCGATATCTAATTGCGGACGCCAGGGACTGTCTGAGTGTCTGCCATCGATAAACTCTGCGGGATGTAATTACATAAATATTGATAATATCGATAATAACTGTTAAGCATTGGGGCGATTCATGGATTTTAGACTGTTTTACTTCAAATCAACAAGTGGAAGTTAAAGACACAAAGTTGGAAGTTAGTTCTTAAGTCAACTTCTAAATGGAATCACTCTTGGTACTAAAAACTTCAACAAAATTAAATTCGCCACCACCACCATATCCACCAAAAATATTAGGTTGGCAACTAAGTGAGTGCAGATTTTTGTTATAATTTCAAAGACATTTTTGGAACTGTATTGTCCATTTTGAACAATGGCTCTTCTTTCAAGCAATTGTTTCACTTTTATACAACTTTTGGTTTTTATTAGCAAAAAATCTGAATGGAATACAATTTGACACCATCATAATCATTATTTACCATTCAATGAGTTTTGGTAAAAATCGAATCAAAAAGTAATCAGAAGGTGCAAGATCAGGACTATGGTGGATATGGCAAGACATCCCAACCCATCTCCATATAATCCCAACCCATCTCCAATAAATAATTTTGGTTTGTCAATTCAGGCTGCTATTATTCGACTGTGTTGTTCAATTTCGTTAGTTGTTCAATGTAAACATCAGATGTCTACAATAATTTCCCATCTCCAATAATTTTTGCTGAGTGACCAAAGATGTAGGTGATGATAATAGTTTTTGGTTTGTCAATTCAGACTGCTATTCTTTGATTGTGTTGTTTAATTTCGTTAGTTGCTTAATGTATACATCAGATGTCTTCAATAATGGTGACCATTAGGTTGGGTGATGAGAGTAAAAGTGGACAACATCTTTGTTTTTCATCTTTGACATCAAAATGGACATTGTAATTGTCTACTATCTATTAACAAAAGATATTTCACGTCATCAAACCTGAAAATTAAATTAAAACTCTGTATCTTAAAAGTACTTATTTAGTAAGTGCCAACGCCTAGCTGTAGAAGTTGACCATAGTGTGAATACGTAGGAAATTCCTATGTGGACCTCAAAACTTTGTACCGCTATATCTTAAAAAATAAAATTTCTTCACTTAAATATATTAATTATTATTATTATTATTATTTTCAGGCCACAGGTTGTCTGTATGAGCACATTCGATGGGGCGATGCCTTCGTGGTGGTGTATTCTGTTTGCGACAGTGTCAGTTTTGCAGAAGCCAGAGATCTTCTAGCACAACTTGCCAAGTTGAAATTGCCGAACTACTACACAGCACTTTTATTGGGAAACAAGAGAGATCTAGATCATTCCAGGTCAATAATAGTAATAGAAATTCTCAATGTAATAGAAATATTAGGATGATGGTGAGAAGATTCTGAAAACGCCTAAGGTTCTGATTTTTTTCATTTTGTTTAGGACTTGTTTAAATAATAGTAAATTAAAAAAAATCTATTTTGTAAGTAACCATGTGGAAAGATCCTTCATCGGTTTCAGGATCTGTGGACGTGCCAATTTCTCGCTCCACCCATTCTAATATGTTTTAACAAAATTTATTATACAAAACATAACGCAATAATTCAGTTCATAATGTAATAAGTCGTTACCTACTTATCTATCTGGGTAAAACGTTGTTTTATGTCTCTGAAAGCCAACATTAGATTTGATCCGCCTATAAGTCGTCCCTGAGTGTCTTATGTAAAAGTATTAAGATAATGGGTCCATTACATGCAATTACGTAGAACCTATATAATCAGGCTAACAAGGTAGCATTAAGAGTGAATATTTATGATTTCGTAAATTTCAAAGTGCATTGCTATTATCTGCCTTACGAGATTGTATGTAGAAATCCGGAAGGTTTTATTATTTGTCATTTGCGTTCACATCTAAATGACTTTCTACGATAGATTGGTGCTAAGAACTAATCAGATAAATACAATAATTAATAAAATATATACATATATATATATATTAGGTAATAACTGCCATAGTACCAAAAACTATCCACCAAATTAAATATTTAATTTATTTGGTAGAAATGAAAATGCTCACTATTGAATATATTAACAAATGTTGTCTATATCAATCATATTTATAAAAATATAAATATATATTTTCTTTGAACTCTAAACAATAACTTAAATATACCAAAAATATTTTTAAACTCTAAATACAAAAATGAATTAATTGGTGATTCTTCTAGCTAGATCTTAGGATGTATTTATAATAGAAAATTCTAATTTATATATTATCAAAGTTTCTGAAAAAATCTGTACTTTACAATAGTTTATTATTTTAAGACCCATGTTTTATCATATACTTGATGTCAAACAGTAGTGATTGCCATTTTCTATTGAAAATATAGATCGAAATATTTTTTCAAGTGAAAATAGAGCTTTCTAGCAATGAAAGCTCTATTTTCACTAACCAGGCGAACATTGGATTTACTAGTATTGAAACAGATTGTACGTTTTCAAAAATGCATAATTCGATTTTGATGAAACTTGGCATACATTGTTACTACACTTTACTAAATATTTGACAAAAATTTAAAGTTGAATCATGCAATAGTTTCTGAGATATGCGAAGTTCTTTGGTGGCTGGTTCCGCGGTCAATACTAGTATTGAAACAGATTGTACGTTTTCAAAAATGCATAATTCGATTTTGATGAAACTTGGCATACATTGTCACTACACTTTACTAAATATTTGACAAAAATTTAAAGTTGAATCATTCAATAGTTTCTGAGATATGCGAAGTTCATGGGTGGCTGGTTCCGCGGTCAATACTAGTATTGAAACAGATTGTACGTTTCCAAAAATGCATAATTCGATTTTGATGAAACTTGACATACATTATTACTACACTTTACTAAATATTTGACAAAAATTTTAAGTTGGAACATTCAAATAGTTTCTGAGATATGCAAGGTTGATAGGTGGCTGTCTCCGCGCCCAATACTATCATTCATATGTAATGTTTTTCTTTACATTTTGGTTCATTTCTAAATATGCCGTGCCTCCATTTTTATTTCATGGATCCCCAAATTTTGTTTTTCCTGCTATGTTCAAATTCGGATTCGGATTCAAATTCCTTCATCATTTTAGGCTTCTTGAAACACCACATTTTAGGAGACTTGAGAGAAAAATACCAATATTATAGACTCTAAGCTAGTAAAATATTCTTTGAAACATCTCCAATACAGAAGTATTTATATTTATAAATTAATTAAGTAATATGTATTTAAATTATAAATTAATTTAATTTACATATAATTAAATTTTTTGAAGTAGTCATAGCTTTTTTTCTATTTTTTCTTATTTGCACAGCTCAGCATAGCAACTCCTAAATATATTTAATGTTCTGAACAAAACTACAATTTACAATTATATAAATAATTTAATTATAAACTTTTCGTCGAAGACTTCATATAACTTTTATACTACAGTCCCTAGAATCGATTCCTTTGTTTTCCATTACCGCACACATATCTCATATCAATTTAACATAGAGAAATCCGAGATATCAGTGGAGATCTGTATATCATCTTGAGAAATTTTCAAATGCTCATACATTTGAGTTATTGTTAATCAAGTCAAACATATTTCGATACGCATGTTTTCGTTTTCAATGAATTACTTGCCTGATTGTAATCTCGTCTTAATGCTTTCGGTACTTTTTGGCTTGCGCAACAAACGGATTCTTTATATTATTCTTGAGTCATGCCTCAGTTGTCATAACATTGGGACGAAGGTAGGAAATTCACTTTCATTGTAGCATCTGATGAATTATGTACTCTAACGGGATAAACACAATTCGAGAGATGATTAATTTTAAATTTTATGAAGATTTTATCACTTATATGTAACGGCTGTATCGAAGGTGACCATGGGTCCCGGATTGGCCGGGACAATCCTGGATTTCTCAAATATATTTAAAAACTCAGCATCTATATGGTCTAGGCTAGGGTTTATACAAAAACCGACATTTCAGAAAACCGGTTTTCGAATTTTAACTTTACTAAAAAAACGGTTTTTTAGAATTGGAATTTTATATAGAAAATAAATTTTTGCTCGAATATTCTGTAATTTATCCGCAAATTTAGTGCAATTTACAGCAGTATTTGTTTGAATTTATTTATTGTTCAATTTTATGGATAGTAAACCAAAATTATTTTAATTTTAATTTTAATTAGTAGAACTAAAAAATAATAGTTTGCCTTGATTAACTTTGAAATTAATTATTTGTTATTTATGCATTATTTTTGCATATAAGAATGAAAATATTCATATGATAGTGAAAGGAAAGTTTTCGAATAAATACAAATAATACATTTTCAAATAAAAAACATTCAATAAATTAAAAAAAAATTAAAAAACAATAAATACATGTTGATACATACTTGTTAATATCATTTTTAAAAACAACTAAGCTAAACTCGTGTATTTTCTATTCCGAGCAATTTTAATTAATTAATTTTAAACATTCTAAAAACTGAGAACATCTATCGAATTGTTACTTAGACGTTTCCTTTGTTTACTCACAAAATTTCCTGAAAAATAATTGTTTTTAATTCTTGATATAATAAGTTTTTTGTTCTTTTATTTGTGGCTTCTAGGAATAAAAACGTTTTTTTAAGTTTGAGTAGAGAAAGTTACTTATTCAAGAAGAAGTCACACTGATTTAAATTAATATATACACTGGTAAAAATCTAAATTATTATATACATTAGACGAAAGATAACACAAAACCATTTTGGGAACTATAGCAGACTGATAAGATTCCAAATGCTATTGAACCGATATGATTTCAAGAATCAAAACGCTTGCATCTATCTTTTACATTTGGCTATATTTGTCATTTTCTATTCATACAATGAAAACCGACTTGTTTCACTAAAAAACCGGTTTTCGAATTCCATAATTTTCGTAAAAAAAATGGTTTTTAAAACCGGTTTTTGAAAACTGACAAACCCTAGTATAGGCATTGCATTTTCATTTGTGTTTTATCATTTGTGATCCGATTTCCAACTATTACCTTTACCCATTGGATTTCCTACGTGAATGTAAATCTCTGATCACTACTTTAGGAAACTGATTCTAATCAGGTAGCCATAAATATCTAGCATACAAGGAAATATTAATTTACTATCTATAATGCTTCGATATGGTTCGCGAAAGTAATATGGAGAAATATCGTATACTTTGTTATAATACAGGTGCTCAGCCAGAGTTTATCACTCATAAATGTGATTTATTTGATTCATGGTTATACATATCACCTGAGGTGGTAGCACATGTGTTATGTGAAAGGGATAACAGTTTATCATGATGATAATAAATTTTTAGTCTGGTCGACAAGAGAAAATACAAATATTGGGATTATTGTAGGATAAATTTTCTCTTGGTAGTAATTTTACTCTTGAGGCATTATTTGGTGGGAGGTGAAGAAATACATGGGTTAATGTTGATGTTTGACTCATTGTGTTTAATTGTTTTGTATCAAACATAGTAAAATTAGGAAATGATAATAATGATTTCTAACCCGAAAGAATTGAGACAGGATAAATTGGAAAATGAAAAATTGCTTATTTGTCCTTACAGTATCTAGAAATGGATTTTTACGTGGAAGTAGACCTTTCCAGCATTGATGCATTAAATTTAAAAAAAAATCTAGTAAAAATTAAATGCTACGTTTTTAAAGGATTTTATTTGAATAAATAATTTACTAAAGTTACTAATATGTTCTCGTGGGATTATAATTTTGTATCTATCTACTTCTTACGAGGTTGTAAATAACAAAAGCACGCATTATAAAAAATATATGTAAAATAATATATTATATTGCGAAGGTTTATAAAATAACAACTATCAACGGCTTTATAGATGTAATATTTTAACCTGAAAACATAACACCTTCGAAAGCGATACATTTTTCATTATAATAACCGTACTACAATGAATCCCTTACAGGCTTGCATGTTTTGTATATTTTATAGAGATATATTTTGTAGAGATGGCAAACCTTTAAATGAAACTCAAAAAAAAATAATAATAAAAGTATTCGGAATTCATTTAATATAAAAAGTAATCAATGCTTTTAAATTTAATTTCACCTTTTTTTAGCAAATTTCAAATTTTTTATATTTAAGGAGGCGTCCATTAATCACGTGAGCTTTAAAGAAGGTGGAGAGTTTGAAAAAAAATCCCAAAATATCACGTGGGGGATGAGAGAATCAAGCAAAATATTACGTATTTATATTTTACCTCAATTAAAAAAAAACTAGAATTTTTCAAAAAAAAATCAAGAATTTTA